AATTGTTCTCTCTCTCTTTTTTTTTTTAAGAGCGTCTTGATTCAGACAAAACTAAAAATAAGGTTACAGTCTGGGGCCTCTTGTAACATCCGTTTCCTTTTAGGTCTCTGGGAGCAAACATTTTCCTACAGCATGGAGATCAAGTCATCAGAAGGGAAGGAGAGAAACCAGACTAAAGACACACTTGACAAACAAGCTTGAGATCATATAGAAATCGAATAATTGACCGAAACGTCTAAAATTCCATTGCATTTACAGCGGAGGTCAGGCTGCAACTTTCCCTGCTCTACACGTCTGTAGGCTCCCGGCCCTGCCTCTCGTTCATTCTCAACTGGGCTGCCCCACTTTGCAGTCCAGTTGTCTGACCCAGCCCCGTCTGCCTCAGTCAGCGGTGTAGACGGGGAGGCCTGAGAGCTATGGGGCCACGGGGCTATGTGGCCCAGGCACAAAGATCTCAGATGTCTGTACTCCAATCTAGAATTGCGGCAGACCTTATCACTCTCCTGAAGGATACCTGTTCTCTGAAGTTCTTCCAGACATTCTAGAGAAGTAAATTTTAATACAAACATGAAGGTCTCCTCGCATGATGGATTAAGGATGCCGTTTAAACCGGGCAAGGAGCTCTCCTTTGGGTCTGGGAAGGCCTAGAAGCGTTAACAGGGGCAAATGGCCCTCAGTTTCTTCAGTCTGGGGTCTGTCCTGTCCACATGCTGGTGGCCCACACCTTAAAACTTTCAGATCCCCACAGAAAGTTGACATAAGAGAGAGAAATGGTACCCATGAGAAACTTAGCTACAAAATGATCTCTGTTTTGGCAAGTCAAGTAGCGAAATTCAGCAGCCGTGGTCACAAAGGCTCAGGCGCAAGGCTCTGTCCACGTCAGAAAGCTGGAGAAAACCAGGACCGTGACTTGAGGGGTGAGGCTGGCATTCCACGGAGACAGTGACCCTGAACACAGAGCGAGGCACTTTATACTATCCTGGGTCAGCTCCTGCCAGTCAGAGGTGCTAAACGAGGCTTCTGGCCAGAGCTTTGGATCATTCCTACCGCCCAGACCAAGCAGGTCAATCATTACGCAGGTCAGCAGGTAAGCTCCCGTGGGTGGGCTGGTGTCCCATCCTCCTACCCTTCCAGGGCTCAGCACAACCAGACACACCACCCTGCAGTTCTCCTGAACAAGGGTAAAGGGCAACAGCAATATGACAGGTCAGTGGAAACAAGCCTTTGGGACTGGATTATAGGAACGGATTTTTATGTAAGTGAAGTTATTCGAGGGCAAGTAAATATGGTAAAATAGGAAATAGCTCAATGCTTTCTTCGAGAAAAACAATGTGCTAAGTAATTAAAATGAATATACACAGTTAAATTATATGGATATGGAAGGGCATGGTTATTCTCTGTCTTTTTCATTCAACCAGCAATACAATTCAAAAACATATCTCTATATAGTCATCTCAATACACAGTTTGACCAAAAGCAGTTTCTTTGAACATTTGTTTTTGTTTTTGTTTTTATTTTTGTTTTTAAGAGAGATAGTGAGAGCAGGGGGAGGAGGCAGAGAGAGAGTGAGAGACAGAATCTTAAGCAAGCTCCATGCTCAGCGCAGAGCCCAACGTGGGGCTCAGTCTCAGGACCTGAGCTGAAATTAAGAGTCAGATGTGTAACTGATTGAGTCACCCAGGTGCCCCCTCTTTGAACAGTTTTAATGCTATAGCTTAACAATCCTAAGATTTCATTTGAGTGTTTCTATTAAATGATAAAACATTGTGTTAGACAATTTAAACAAGTTTTTTGCCTGCTGGACTTACCAGAATTTTTAATACGCCAGCGTGCTTTGTGAATTTCCGAAAGGGCACTAAAGTGCACAGCAGTTTGAAATAATTTTAATTTCAAATTTTGAAATAAATTTAATTACAGGGGTCCCTGGGCAGCTCAGTCAGTTAAGTGTCCAACTCGATTTCAGCTCAGGTCATGATCTCAGGGTTGAGAGATGGAACCTTTGCACTGGGCATCGAGCCTGCTTAAAATTCTCTCTCTCTCCCTCTGCCCCCACTCCCCACGGCTTGTGGGCATGTATGCACACCCTCTCTCTCTTTTAATTAATTAATTAACTAATTAATTTTGATCACAGAACCTCAGGTCAGTATATTTTGCTGGACCAGAGAGCTATATAATACAACTTTGGAAATGCTGCTCTAAAAAATCCTGCATTGTTCTAAAAACATATGAAAACCATTGTACACCCCTGGAGAAACTAAGACTATAAACCATATGAAATAGTAGCTTATGATGTTGGAAAAAAGACTATCAGGTTACCCACTTATCGGAGTATATACACTAGGGACCTAATGAATGGACCGATCAAGAATGCCTAGAACAGTAATTGATGTTAATCAATAAAGACAGACTACAATCAATTACATGGCCGAGCACAACAAGGTCTTCAACTGCAGCGTAAGTCCATCACTTTCCCCAAAGCAAACATGCTTTAGGTCAAACCCCTATGTGAGTGAGGACATGCTTAGCACTGAAGCATTCTGCCAAAAATAATTTCTACTAGGTGCTTTACTATGGAAATAAAATATAAAACTCTTCCCTGGGCCAAGAGTTCCATTAGAAAATGACAAATTCAGCCTCGGCACAGATACAAATGCTCGCCCTTTCTGCTCCCGGCCAACTTTCCTGCTCCGAGTTTCTTTGGTGCTGTGCCCGCTGCGGATGGAGGAGGGAGGAAGGGCCTGTCACACAGATGGACTTGGCCAACAAGGCTTCTGCAACTCAGCCAGAGCACAGCACCTGGTGAGCCCACGCTTCCCTGCGTGAATGATGGTGTTCAGATCAGGGCATAGAGTCAACCCCTAATCCTACAGCACTGATTACCCAGACCAGCAGTAATCTGTGGTCTGTGTACCCTTGAGCTGGTCTCTGCTGCCCAGATTTCTTTTCCAGTGGGCACATCAGTGGAGGGTAAGTGCTGGACATCAGAGCTGTGAAGACCCAAGCCATGCCTATCACTTGACTGGTTTACTGGTCCAGGAAAAGGACTGACAATGGGAGACGATGAGAGTGCTGAAGAAATGAGCAGAGGAATGATCTGTAGCTTTCAAGCCTTCTGCATCCTCCCACAGGCCCAGATAATCAAGATATAAATATCCTCTGAGAAATGTTTTACAGATGACAGAAGAAAACTGGGGTAGGTAAAGGTGTTTTCTTTTTTTTTTTTTAAGATTTTATTTATTTGAGAGAGAGGGAGAGGGAGGATGAGGGAGAGGAAAAGAGAATCTGAAGCAGACACCGCACTGACCATAGAGCCCGACGTGAGGCTTGATCCCACAACCACAAGATCATGACCTGAGCTGAAACCAAGGGTCAGGTGCTTAACTGACCTAGCCATCCAGGCAGCCCAGGTAAAGGTGTTTTGAAATAGAAAACCAATGCTCTCAACAACTTCTTATATGATATTTCTGTGTAAATAAAAACAATGTGCCAGATGGTGACTACCCTTACCCAGGTGAGCCCCAAGTCATCTATAGAATTGTCAAATCAGTATGCTGTCCAGCTGGAACTAATATAACATTGTACTTAATTATACTCCAATTTAAAAAGCTTAAAGAAACCAAGATATATATATATATACACACACACACACACACACACACACACACACACACACCACATATATCCTTACATATAGATGTATGTGTGTATATGTATATACATAATATAAGAAGTCGGAAGATAGAAATTAAAATGTGAACAGGATATGCTTTACTGTATGTCAATCACACCCCAATAAAGTTAATGTAGGGGGGCCTGGGTGGCTCAGTAGGTTAAAGTCTCTGGCTTTGGCTCAGGTAATGATCCCAGGGTCCTGGGATGGAGCCCCTCATTGGGCTCTCTGCTCAGCAGGGAGCCTGCTTCCCCTTTTCTCTCTGCCTGCCTCTCTGACTACTTGTGATCTCTGTCTGTCAAATAAATAAATAAAATCTTAAAAAAAAAAGTTAATGTAAATAGTGGTTACATCTGAGTTACGAAAGATACAAGCAATTATCATTTTCTTCTGCTGGTATTTTCTACATTTTCTTCTTTTGTATTTTCTAGACTTTCTTGACTTTATATGCATTACTTTAGTACCATAAAATATCAAAAGTTATTTCAAAAATCTTCCACAATTCATTCAATTTGTTTGATGTTTGTGTCATTCTCTGCACCTTATAAAGAGTTTCCACATTTTTAACAGCAGAAGGAAATATATTACTTGAGAAAGGATAAAGCGGGTTCTGAGGTAGTTACAGGACTTGTTCAATGTCAAAGATCTAGAAATTAGCAGAACCAAAATGGGAATCCCAGATCTCCTCTTCCAAATCCCATGACTTCTGTTTTCTTCTGCTCACTGCTTGCTGCCTCCTATGGTCTAAGCATGTTCCAATGACTGCATAAACGCCCCCAAAGTATACTTCGTATAGAACCAAAGCAGTAGAATTATCATATAAGACCTGAGCAAAAAGTGGGGCACCTGGGTGGCTCAGTCGGTTAAGCATCTGCCTTCGGCTCAGGTCATGATCCCAGAGTCCTGGGATCAAGCCCTGCACTGAGTTCCTTGCTCAGTGGGGAGCCTGCTTCTCCCTCTCCCTCTACCTGCCTCTCCCCCTGCTTGTACTCTCCCTCTCTGGGTCAAATAAATAAATAAAAATCTTAAAAAAAAAAAAGACTTGAGCAAAAAAGCTACTATTTTTTGTTCAAACTCAGTACTGGTGGAGGGGAGAGATGAGACTAACCAAGCAAAGGCCGGAAACCAATGAGGCCCCATCAGAGTGACAGGAAACCTTTTCCTCCTGGTGGCCACATCATATATTCTTGGCTTCACTTCAACCCTCTTCAGAAAGGGTAAAGGAAACTTGACCAAAATGGGACCAAACCACTCAGGGAGGGAACGTACAGATGGAAACAAACAATGAAACGAGGCTAAAGGTGTTCAGACATTGCCCAGTTGGAGGTACCTTCATTCCCGCTGCTGCTGCTGGGCCACTGGGGTCCACGGCCTGGATGTGGCATGGCTTACTTCCTCGTACCACAAAGCCCCAACCCACGGCATCACCGACAATCTGGAGAGGAAAACCACAATGAGCAATCGGCAGATGGTCTCTAGCAATTTGCCTGTCCTTCCAAGAGAAAGAAAACCAGCCCAGGATTAAGGCGCATGTCCTGATATCTCTCTCCTCTGTTCTATCTGAACCTTGTGGGAGAACATGACACTTTGCTTCTATCCTAAACACAGGCATATCAATGTAGAAAGGGGGGTCAAGAAAATACCTTTTTGGCAGAAAGAAGCTTCCTCTGTGAGGTGTACTCATCAGTACATAACCAGCAGATCGCCTCTTTCTTAGGCTGCTATGCCATTTAATATCAGACTCCAATGGAAAATTTAGAAGATTGTGAAAACACGGTTGAAATTTCTCTCTAGACCCAAGTTCTGTTCCAAATTTATTCTTTTTCCCCTGGATCCAATGATACTCTCCTGGTGATCTTGCTATATCCGTGAAGTCCAAAGGAACAATTTAAATTACCAACGGTGCGGAATATGAAGAGTTTCGACTTTTTTGAAACACAATTTGTCTACCAAGAAAAGTAAGTGAATAAGTACTTAAAGTTCACAATTTACAAGGAGGGGCTGTTCCAAAAGTGTTTGAAACTAGAGGATGCCTTTTCCTATAGAATCATTATACTTGGCAGTTACATTCCCTGGGCAACTCCCAGACATGTCTCTAATACATACCCCAACTAAAATGCAGAAGACACACATTCACAATTACTAGCAATGAGGGCATTTACATTTAAAACCAAAGAGAAATACTTACAAATATCATCAACTGTTTCTCGTATGCTTGAGACTGATGCAAGGCAGGAAAGCAAGTGCAATTTTGGTGAACATTCTCAAAAAAAAAATTTAGGCCTTCCATTGGCTTTAGGTTTTGCTGGTTATTAGTTCCTTATACCTAATTCACTTCCAAAACATAGTTTATCTTTTACAGACATATTTCCAATGCATTTTTTCATATTGATGGGTTAGGACTGACCCCATCTTTATTTTAACTCCTCGGTGCCCAGAATGTGAGGCAGGCCTTGACAAATATTTGAGAAAGAGAGAGAGAGTGCAAGCACAAGCATGAGCAGGGGGAGAGGCAGAGGGAGAGAAAAAGGGAGAAGCAGACTCTCTGCTGAGCAGAGAACCTGATGTGGGGTTTGGTTCCAGGCCCCTGGGATCATGAGCTGAACTGAAGGCAGACTCTTAACGAACTGAGCCATCCAGGTGTCCCCCAAAGTTAGAAGACTGAAGGAAGAGTAGAAGTGCCTTCAAGGGCATGTCCACATGGTTTTGTGCAGAGACTGAGAGAAAGAGGCGGAGAATGGAGAGTGTGTGAGGTTCTGTCAAGCAAAGCACTTTGATTCTGTTTAAAGAAAGCCAGTGGGGCTGGTAGTTCTAGAAGGAAGCCTGGAGGACCTCCAAGAAGGGGCAGGTGGCCAGGAGGGGCTCACAGGTACGCAGTGCTCCAAAATCCAGGGCTTGTATAACTTAAGACACGCTCAGCATTGTCAAAAGCACCATTACTTGTGGTAGAACAGATTATCCCATAGTTTTCTTTTCTCCCCTAAAGACTCCTCTAATGTCTTAAATGAATTTTGGGATTAACTGTAACACAGAAGGAATTATTGGCATTATTTGCACTGCCATTTGCCTTAAAGTCTGTAATTATATCAGACTAAGTATATAGTGGAAACCTTTTCTTAAGGGCACATCAAAAGGAGTTTAAAATGCTGTATTAATCATAAATCATGTCAAGTCCCAATGCATTTTAGTGCCCAAGGGTCAAGAAAATCTACTCTCATAATAATGCCAAAACAAAAGGGAAATTAGAAGGTTTTCAATTCTGTCCCTAAGCTACACACTGATTCACTGACATGTTGACACGGCACAGAGAGAAAGCACGAGAAAAACCCAAATGAGGAGCCTACCGTGAATGTCTTCCTTGCATACGGAGCCCCGGGAGTCAGGAGTTCCTCCGAAGTTACGGGTCTCTTCAACACTGTAAGACAGACACAAGGTCAAGGTGAAAACCCTTCTGGTCGTTTGTTCGTTCATGTAGCGGATATTTACTGAATGCCTCATATGTGACCGTCCACAAACAAGCATGGCAAGGATCCCCACCTTACAGTGTATCTTTCTAGCCAAACAGAGACAGAAAACATGAGCAGGACGATTAACCCTAAGCCCAACTTAGAGACTTCTGGAAAGAAGAAATGGCACAGGAGTGCATTGATATTTTTCTATCAAGAAAAAGTTTTCTAGTGCTCATGCTTCTTTCTTTTGAATCCTGACACGTATTCAACAGGAAAAGGTGAAGAGAGAGACTTGACTCCAGTAGTCCCATAGCCATGTTTCAAGAGCTACCCACCCCCCCAACAACATACGGCACACATCTCATTCACTCATGGAAGCTTTACTTATTTCTTGATCAATATCCTGGACTACATGGACACACTCACTGCCTCTTGCCCTGAGGAATGATGTTAGAGGAATGTTAAGCATATTCAGTGTGTGCTAGGCTCTATGCTAGGTGCTTCAAATATATTATCTCATTTAGTAATCACAAAAGCTATCTAGCTAGGTTCCACATTATCCCTATTTTATTAGTGAGACACCAGAGGTTTAGAAAAGTTAAATAGCTCTGTCCAGGATCTCAGCCCTCATGGGTAGCAGAATCAAGATTCAAACTCGGGCACTGGATACCAAGGCCCAGCAGCCACTGCAACATGGGTCCTCCCATGCTCTCTTTATTCATGAACAGAATGATGGGCTAAAAAACTCCAGAAGGCAGTGGTAAGTTGTCCTCCTAAGACGTCTGTTCTTATCAGCTCGCTGCTGTTGCCCAGCAAGATGGCAAAGCCAGCAGCCAATCCCTGACTTGCAGGCGGCCTGAAATTCTGCCAATACCGTAGTCCCTCCTTATCTGTGGGGGACACATTCCAAGACCCCCCAGTGGGTGCTGGAAGGCACGGATAGGACTGAGCCCTAGAGATACTACATTTTTTCCTATGTGTACATATTCATGATCAAGTTTATTGTAGAAATGAGTCACAGTAAGAGATTAACACCAACACTAACAATAAAATAAAACAATTAGAACAATACGCTGTAATGAATGTCTCCATCCATCCTGGGCTCACTAAGAACTTGAGAGGGGACTGCTATGGACATCCAGAGAAGCCAGCAAATGGGGACCCAGGGAGCCTCCTTACCTAGTTAGAGATCATGACCTTGGGTATCCTAAAGAAACATGAGGGCCCAAGGCCAAGCCCTTAACCTGGCAAAGTGCCAGCCTTCAGTTCCCTTGGCTGGCAGCATTCAGAGGTCAGGGGCCAGTCCTGGAACAAGGGTACAGCAGAAAAAGATAAGGCAGCACAGGGCAAGACCTCGATGACCCACCAGGAAGCCTGACCCTTACAGACCCTCTCTCTGTCAAAGGCAATGAAGTGCTTCTCGTTGAGATGACAGGTGGCTGGGATGACTGGTTGCTTTTATAAAGCTCATAAAAGAGAACATGAATTTACATTCTCCCCAAAAGAGGAAGCAGGTCGAATATCAAAGAAAAGAACCTCTCAGATGAACAGGAGATAAGAGAAGAGGTCCACGGTTGAGAACTCAGACTTTTTAATTTCCTATCAGACAAGTCCCCCCTCTCCTCTCCAAAACCACTTCTGGGTGTATGAATTTGGATATAGGAAGCACACTGTACTGTAATATTTATTATTACTGTAATATTACCATGACATTACTATATTATTATTGTAATATTACTGTCCACTTCTTTAATATACATAATCTTTCTTTTTATTGAGCTATAATTGGCATCTAAAACTATATTAGTCTCAGGTTACAGCATAATGGTTCAGTATATGTATATATTTTTGGCAAACCATCACCACAATAAGTCCAGCTAACACCTATGAACTCACATAGTTACAACCTTTTGTTTTCTTGTGATAACCTTTAAGATTTATTTTCTTAGCAACTCTGAAATGGACAAGACAGTAGTACGAACTATAGGGGTCATGCTGTATATTACACCCCAGGACTTACTTATTTTCTAATGGGAAATTTGTACTGTTTGCCCATCTTCACCCGTTCCTCTGGCAATGACCAATCTGTTCCCTGGATATGTGAGTTTGGGTGTGTTTTTTTTTCCCATTTTCATTCCGCATATAAGTGAGACCACATATTTGTTATGTCGCATAAGGTTCTCAAAATCTACCCATGTTGTTGCAAATGGAAGGATTTCCTTTTTTTTTTTTTTTTTTTAATGACTGAACGATATGCGGTTGTGTCATATCCCTCATCTTCTTCATCCATTCGTCTAGCCATCGACCCTTGGGTCATTTCCATGTCTTGGCTATTGTAAATAAGGCTGTGATGAACGTGGACATGTAGATAACCTTTCAACCTTCTGTTTTCCTACCTTTGGATAAATACCCAGCAGCAGAATTGCTGGATTATATGATGGTTCTCTGTTAGTTTCCTGAGGACCCCTCATACTACTTCCCACGGTGGCTGCGCCCATTGACACTCCCACCAACAGGGCACGAGGGTGCCCTTTTCTCCACATCCTCGCCAACACTTGTTATTTCTTGTCTTTTTGACAACAGCCATTCTAACAGGTGTGAGATCACAGCTCGCCATGGTTTTAAATCACACTGTACTGTGATATTTGACCACCATACTAATAAAATAAAATAAATTATAAATTAAAACATTTTAATACACTTGCCCTTTCTTCTGTTGAAAAATATAGAAATCTTGAAGCCCATGGAATTATCCTTTAGCTTTCTCTTTTTGTGTCCTTTGGAAGTTATTTGCTCATTATAAGAACACCAATCACGGGAATATCTGGTAGCTCTTTTTTTGTTTATTTGTTTGTTTGTTTGTTTGTTTTGGCTGGCTTAGGGCATTAATACACAGTACTAAAAAAAAAAATACATCCAGATGTAAATATAATGAAATTTTGAATGCCTTACTGTGAAGCCCTGCTTATCTGCTTGAGAAAAAAAAAAAATCACACATGAGCTCACTGCACCCTGGGAACCCTCCCAAGAGTGAGGGAGAAGCGTGTCAGAATATGGGTAAGATGTAGGATTTATGAAGCATAGTTAAGACAATTGAGACAACCACAATGGAGACCCAAAAAAGGCAACCTGACCTTTCTTTGTTGCCTCCTTATCAGCATACTTTCCCCTTTGAGCCAAGGGGGGAGGAGAAAGAGGAAACAGGGCAAACCCACCCAGGAAAGGTGGATGTGTAGTTCATTTAAGTAATTAACACTTCGCTCTGACTCTACCATTGTATGCAAATGCAAGCAAGAAAAAAAATGGCTTTAGCCTCGATGACCCTTTTCCGAAACTGAACTCTACTGCTTCTAACTCTAGGTTACACCTCTCAGATTTCCATCTAGGCTTCAAAAAGTCTATTTCTAAGAATGCAGTTCTCCTTTCTCATTCTACCTTATCAGCAGTGCTCGTTCATTGGAAAACACATGGGGGCTCAATGATTTTCTAGCCAGAGTCAGTGTGGAAGCCAGTTTCTTCATTCATTATGATTTTCCTCTTCCAGCTAACCCTCCAGAAGGTAGCAAAAAAATGTTAGATTAGGTAAAATACCCATTTGCCTAGATAACATCCTTACATAACAGTTTCTCCTAAAGCCCTTTGATCAATATTTATTTGTCCTTACTAACATGTGTATTCTCTCCCCCCTCCCAGAGAGATGATGGGTTCACTGAGGGAAGGGGTCATGATCTTTCGTCTTTATATCCCCAAATGTGGTGATGAGAGAACAACATGAGCCAAAGGAACAAATTCCCTTCCCTGAAGGTGATATACTGGACAGGGCGTGGAAAAAAAGGGAGTTGAGGGTGTTTTCAAGGCAGTGATTATTGGCATGATGGACCATGCAATCTAACTCTGGCAGAGCGGTGGGTAAGGGGCAGTGCGACGCTGGCTGTATCTGGGAGTTACAGGAACCTGCGGGCTGAAGAACTGACAGGGTCAAGGAAGAAATGTTTTTAAGCACGAGCTCATCACCCATCTTTGTGCCTAGACTTTTCTTTCTGGAACGTAAAGGCCATGGAGTTCGATGAGTAGGATCATAAACGCAAGGCACCAGGAGTCATTTTCAGAGAGCGCAGGGTTTGCACAGATCCGTGCCTCTTCTTTGGGGACTCCTGGGACCCAAAAGATCTTTGCATCTGCTCAAACCCTCTTAGGAGTGTGGGGCTTCTCCCAGACGCCGGGACTGCGGGTATCTTCCACTGTCTTCCCAACCGCCCCTGGAAAGAGCTGCCTTGCCCAAAGTCCTGCCCTCCTCCCCAAGGGCAGCTGACATCGAATGAATGCTCAAAAACGAGGGTTGACAGGCCTGGCCGTGTCACCCCAAGCTGGGACAACTCTGAAGGGCCACCCAGACTCCAGAGCTCCCCCTGGAGTCAGTGGGGCAGCCTGACCCTCCCTCTGCCCAAACCTCCATGTTTCCCTTCCGTTCGAGGGGATGCTGGCACCAGATTCCCACGCACGAGTGTCCCCACCACCCCGTCTGAGAATCTGCTGCCCCGGGGCGGGGGCGGGGGGGGGGACCCGCCTGCACACCCATCCCCCACCCCAGCCAGAAACCGGGGCTGCCTTTCGGCCACTCACCGGACTTGGGGTTGCAGAGCACCGGGGGGCTGCTGCTCAGGGTGGGGCTGCTGCTGAAGTAGCCGCTGCTCCCACAGCTGCTCATGCTACTCCTCCGCACGGCAGACACGATCTTGATCTCCTTGCTGGGGCTGACTGTGCGGGCGGGAAACACAGCGGGTCACGGGGGGCGCTCGCCTCCTCTCCCCAGCCCGCCGGAGCTTGCCGCCGCCACACACCGCCAGGCCAGGCCAGCCCACCAGGAAAAGGCACCCTGGCCTTGGAGTCAGAAAAGCAAGAATTTGGGCACCTGGCGCGGGGGGGGGGGCTCCGTCGGTTAAGCGGGGGCCTTCGGCTCGGGTTCTGATCCCAGGGTGCTGGGATCGTGTCCAGCCTTGGGCTCCCTGCTCAGCGGGGAGCCTGCTTCTCCCTCTGTCCCTCCCCACTGCTTGTGAGCTCGCTCTCTCTCTTAAATAAATAAATAATCTAAAAAAGGAAAAGAAAAAAAAATAAATAAAAAAAATAAAAAAGGAAAAGAAAGAAAGAAAGACAGACAAGAATTTCAACTGCAGCCTGACACTCGTTTCAGTTCTTGGAGCCTCTACCTCCCCAGCTGTGAAGTGGGAATAATGCGGTCCCACGGATCGGTAGGAAGAGCGGATTACATGATGAATGGGAATGTACTCAGGCACCTAAAATGTTATTTCAAGAATGAGGGAGCCTGTGCTGAGCAGTCCTGGAAGGATGTAAATTACCTCCCGGCTTGACACTTAACGGATTAACGGTAATAATAAAGCCTCCTGATTTACTATGAAGTCACTAATCACCCAGAGCCATGGAAGAGGGAGATTAAAACACAAGACCACGTATTTAGCTCTGAAAGTGTATGTGGGGTAGCAGTCGGGTCTGGTTCTCTTTGCCACAGAGTGTGTGGCTCTCAACGAGGGAGGGGAGAGAGGAGGGTGTACGGTCAAATGACAGAAGCCACGGAGAGTCCCCGCTTAGTGCCTGGAACATGGGAAAGAAACAAATGCTGGCTTTTGTGGTGACCACGTCCCCTCTGTCCTCCTTTTCATCACTGTCACTTTCAGGTTCTAACTGACCACAAGGCACAGGCAGAGCTTAGCGCTAGAAGAGAACGGGAAGACTTACTCTGCATTGGCAGAAGGCTGCAGCCCAAAGGGGACACACGGCTGGGGTGTGTCTGAGCACAGACTGGGCCCCTGACCGGCTGCTAGTCCTCACTTTCCCTGAGGGGCTCTTGCTCCCTTCTTTCTTCCACCCTAGTTCTGTCTGTGGGGTGAGGGGGGTTGGGGCAGAAGCACTGGAGTTAAGACAGAACTGGCATGAGACCCCAGCTCTGTCCACCCTTTTCTAGCTCTGTAACCTTGGGGAAGCCCCTCTACTGCTCCATGCCTCAGTTTCTCCACCCACAAAATGGGAATAAGAAAAGTCCTTCCTCTGAGGGTACAGTGAGAATTAAAGAGCAAAACTATGCAAGCAAGCTTAGCTCAGTGCCGGGGGCACAGAAAGCTGTCAATATGGCTGCAAGGGTTCTCATTGCCTCCTGCCATAAGTAACCAAGACACACATTTTCACTGTGCCCTGAGTTTCAGGCAAAGCCCAGATCGTGCAAACCTTAGACCAACCAGTTTCTCGGGTCAATCCATGACAAATTTTCAGAGGAGTTGAAGATAGCCATTTAAGCACTTCTGCTTCTTCCGAAGAAGGGCACCCCAAGTTAACCCTTTCCGGATGAGCGGGGTTATCTTTGCGGACCCCTGTCAGTGTCATTTCTGGCAGGGGTCACTGTAAATATGGGACTGTGTGACCTTCCATGTGATGTCCTAGGCTTTATGAGCTCCTTTGCTTGCTTTTCACAATTTTTCTTTGGTCTGGGTCACCCCTTCATGCCAGGTTGACAATCAGTAGTCTTTTAGTTGAATATGCCCTCACAAGTCCTTATCCACTATTAAAACATAGAGCTTGTCAGTGCTCTGATTTAGAAAACTGGATCATTAATGATATGTAAGAATTGTTTACAAATGAAAAGTAAATAAGGTAGCGTGAGAGCTTAAGAAAATTTCTATCACGAAAAAACATAATTTGATATAACTATGTTTTCATGACATCTAAATGGACTGCCCAGGAACAATATGGTCATGCTGGGGTTTTTTTTTCCCCCCATACTTTTTGGTTATGAATAAATAAAAAGGTGCCAGAGGACAGCCTTTCACAAAGGTGAGGCATCGCTAGACTAGTTCTCAAAAGACAAACGCACCTGATCGCATACACAATGAAACTGACATACCGGACATAAAACTGGTAGATTTCCGATTGTCATGGCTCTGCTTCCTCAGGCAGAAGGGGCTGTCATGAGTTTCCTGAGACGAGGGCGATTTTTCATTGAGCAGCTCCATCAGTCTGCGCCTCCGCCGGAAGTTCATTCTGAACTGGTAGAGAAGGTTGCTGTCCACGAATGGGTGCTTGTTGGACACTGGGAAGGAGAAACAACAGACAGGTATGTCTGGTGTCCTGGCCACAGAGCACCGCAGCCAGGAGACTCTATCCAGCAGGGGCAAAAGTCTTTGGAAAGAGTGTAATTCTCCAGATGCCACATGAGCTTGTAGTCCACACACCACCCCAGGAGCTTTCCAGGTGCCATGCACTTTAAAAATTTACTAACCCATTCCTTGGGTGAAGCATTGCCTGATTTCACCCCTGATCTAAAGCCATACTCTTCCTGGAGTTGTCTGAGACTCTATGCAACCTCCCGCTCAGCACTTACCACACGGAGCCTGCATTGTCTGTTCACTTCTCTGCCTTGTACACTCAGCTCTAGGCTCTCTGGGGCAGTGATCATGGCTTCATGTGGTCATGTGTCCCAGCGCCCCACAAAATGCTAGTCTCATAGCCATACGTCCGTTTGTTTTTAAACTTTTGATTTTGAAATGATTATAGACTCAAAGAAAGTTGCAAAAATAATACAGAGACTACATATAATTTGTTTGTTTGTTTTGGTCGGGGAGGGGGGAGAAGTCCATCTCTTTCTTCCAACTAAGTCCCTCTGCTTAAGGGCCCAGACTGCGTCTTAATCATTCTGGCAACCTGAAATCCTAGACTACCCCAAGTTTGGCTCAGAGTAGGTGCTCAGTAAAAGACTGGTAGTGAACAGTCTGTGATGGGTAGTGGTTGGGTAAGCAATATGTCCAGAACACAGCTAACTTTAGACTATTTATGGCTAGTCTGTGCAACAGAGCTCACCTTAAACCAAGGTGTGGGTTCATGGTAGGTCACGAAGAAGTTACTGGGGCATAGAAAATTGGAACATTAAAGACAATGCATCTCTAGTCTTTCCTAAACTAAGTATAGTCCCTTTGAATCCTTTCCTTTATTCTGAAATGATATCATCACAGCTTTTTTGTTGTCCATTCACCCACCCAATTATTCAACTCACATTTATTGACTTAGGTTGACTACATGTTGTGTACATTTTTTGTCCTGCAATTATGAAATGATGGTAAAAAGAGATAAAAGGTGGTTTTTTTAAGGTACTTATTTTGGCAATTTTTTTTTTGAAATGTGAAATTTAAAATTCTGTAAATCACTAAGAAAATAATCTAACACAAACACTGAGAATCATATTAACTCATTTATCAATAATAGTAACCAGTACAGCAGCCTCTTTAGGTGTTTCACAAATAGCATCACATCCCTTCTGGCTCAACACCAGGAAGTGAAATCTAGGGTTATAGTTGTGTTTATCATGCACATTTGCTATGAGCAATTCTGGTTACATGAATATCTAAGCCTCAGATAGGTGGGTCCCTTTTAAGAGAGTCCACTGCTAACTTTTAACTTAATGATTCACATGGTTGTTTCACTGTCTTTAAATGGTGACTAGTCCCTTTGGCTAAACGCATGATTTTGGCCACCAAGACAAATACACTTAATTCAGTGGTAGTTCTGCAATGTTCTTAATAGATGATGTCATTCTTGGATTCAGGAGATGCTGAATGCATCCTGGACCAAGAGATTAGCCAATTACACTTGAATATGCTATCTACAAATAGTGGTTCTTTTGTGGATAGTCAAAATCTTTTTTAATTTTTACTTATTTTTTTAATTTCTTTTCAGTGTTCCAGAATTCATTGTTTATGCACTTCAACCAGTGCTCCATGCAATACGTGCCCTCCATAATACCCACCACCAGGCTCACTCAACCTTCCACTCCCCACCCCTCCAAAACCCTCAGATTGTTTTTCAGAGTCCACAGTCTCTCATGGTTCATCTCCCCCTCTAATTTCCCCCAACTCCCTTCTCCTCTCCATCTCTCCATGTCAAACTTTAATAATAAATTTACTTAATCGCTACATTCAACAATGCTATTTTAATAAAATTTTGTAGAGAAGTTATCTATTTCTGGCAAACTTTTTGGAGTGTATTGAGATCTTTTAAATCCTCAGGTTGACTTAGGCAATAGTATCTTAAATTACAACCTGAAAATACAAACTTCTGTATACATTTATTAATACCTACTGCTTTCTCTTTGGAGTGTGACATATACAAAACAATGGCTCTGGTATAAATAAATACAGAAAAACACTCTAAATCCAACCAAATTCCAGAATGACCAAAAGTACTTTAAAAAGTATTTTTAATTGAAGTGGAAATTTGGCTGCCAGTTTAGTCTCCTTGGGCTTTAAATACCGAGACCTAGAGTTGAAGTCATACCTATGCTCCATTCTCCACCTCCCCAGCTCCCCACTACCTACAGCTCAGAGGGTAAATCTGGCATCTGAGATGAATGGGTTAAATTCAAATAGTCCTTATTCATCCTATTCCCTCTCCAATCCTGCAAATGACCTTAAATGTGATCGACCGAATCAGGGAAAACAAAAGTTGGACGAGACAGCAGACCACACTTGATAAGCATAATGCCAAGTGGACTGTAAGAACTCAAAAAATTAGACCTCTATTATTTTACAAGCACTGTTGTTATTTTTATAATTACCCTCATGTACTGATGATGATGCCATTTGGCTTATGGGAATTCAATTTTATGACACACGATATTTAATGCCCCACTTCCATTGTCAAGGGCTCATTTGGATTTTCACGCCCGAGGAGCAGCCACACTCTGTGAAAACGAAGGACTCCGTGTGTTCATCTTCCAGCTGTGTGGCTGGAACAGATGGAGTCCAATTCTCCTCTCAGAATAGAAAAGTGACAATTGCATGTGTCACCTGCATTGTTTTCAATAAATTACTTGGCTTTTAAAAGGGTTTTTTTTTCCTCTCTCGCTCATTAAAAGTTGGATGACATGAACACTGAATTTCAGGCATTTGCTTTGTTTGTGAGCATAGCCTTAGGTATACCAGAGATAAATGTAGTCACAAAATCTTGATGAGCACAGGTAGACAGCCATATTATAGCAACGATCAGTTGACACATGGCTTCCATTCATTTATGCAACAATGTGAGCACCTACTAAATCTCGCACACCATGCAGTTATCTCTCTTAGCACGGTGGCTGGAATATGACAACTTATCTGCTCCTCCTTTCAAAAACCAAAGACTGCTAAAAGAGACATTGCTCCATATAAGAACGGAACAATTAAGTTGGGACTCCATTACACACTCTCTTTGGCTGAGTAACTTTTAGAAACTAATATTACGCAATAAAAAGTGAAGGTTCTAGAGTTCAGTGACCTCAGTTTTGATCTCTGTTCTGCCAACGTGACTAGCAGAGTGCTTTAGGCAACTTACTAAACTTTCAACTTTTCACGGCTTTGCTGTGAAGGAAAAATGGGATAATGGATGTGAGAGATTTGGAATATCGTCTGAAATCTAGTGGTTTAAGTCTTCTTGTTCTTAGACTCCTAAAGATTGACTTTAGCCTTCGGTCATAAATTACACATGTAAAGCCTCAAGAAATAAACAATGGCTAAATGACAGGACAGTTTATATTCCAGAGAGAGAAAAGCGTTGGTTCCTCCTACACTTTAACATGACATCCACTATATGAAATCCAAAAGCCATTTGCTACATAGGTGGCTTACTCTTTGGTAAACACAGAAGAAATAACCTAAACTCAGAGGGAAAAAATTAAAGAGAAGGAAGGGAAAACCATTTAGGGGAAGGTAACTGGTGGCTCTAAAACTTGAGGTTGTTCCAATTCTTTACTTCTCAGATCCCAACACTGTACAGAACTTTTATTTAAAGTAAATATTGTGATACGAACAATTTGACAAATTTTGTTCTTTGCTCCTTGAGACTATGAACCTCTAACCAGGAATAAGTAAGACAGAATATTCAAAGCTGACATTCGATATCTGGTTTTTCTAGTTGTGCTCTTTTAATTATAGTTATAATTGAAAAGTGATAATTATTTATCCATTCAATTTATAATTTCTGGGACTTATGAAGACTTTCCTCTCATATGGGTAGCATTCCCAAGGGGCTTGACTCGGCTTCGTATTAAATCAGACATAAAAATAAGAGTAAAAGCAGGCACAGCCAGAAAGCTATAAATACAAGAGGACCTAATTGCTTAGGAAAGTGGGGGTTCTAGAAACACTAAGCTCACCATGTTGTTGATACTTGGTAAAAGAAAAGAGATCCTGATTTGCTGTGTGGTTTTCCTTTTTAGAAAGCATGAGAGAAATGTTATAATAGAGTGACATACATAGATTCTTTTTGTAGACAATGTGGCTACATTTTTCTCTTATAAGTTTTTGGATGACTTCGGCAAACACAAAGAGACCTTGAAAGTGATTATCTACAAGAGGGGAAATTGGCTTCTTCACCACTGACACATAGAATCTAAACATGAATATAAAAATCTATCATCTTGAAACCTATAAATTCAGCTGAACATAAAAGACATTTTAAGCTACTTATCTAGTTGGATTGAAGAAGGTCACATACTTTCATTCATCCTTGAAATGTTTGCTGGCAAATGACATAACACAATAGGCATCATGAAACAAGCCCATTGAACCCAGCAGTGTGATGGGGAGGGGGGTTGGGAGGGAGGGAGGGGAAGAGAATGTGCAGTCACCAACTGCTCTCTGGATGGCATTTCATCAAACCTTTAAATTTTTATTTATTCTTTAATTTTTTTTTAAAGATTTATTTTTTTGAGAGAGTGTGAGTGGGGGGGAAGGGTGAGTCAGAGGGAGAGAGAGAATCTCAAACACACTCCCCACTGAGTGCAGAGCCACCCAGCTCGGGGGGCACTTGATCCCAGGACTCCGAGATCATGACCTGAGCCCATATCAGGAGTCCGACACTCAACTGACTGAGCCACTCAGGCACCCAGGCATCTCCATCAAACCTTCTTAAAGGTGGTCTTGGATCTGGGATTACATAAGTAACTCGGCAGAGTGAAAAGAGGGCTTAATGAGGGGAGGGGGAAAGGATAATGCTATTGCCATGAGGAGAATGATCAGCAAGGATGAGGTGGGGGCACCATACTGCAAAGGCAAACTGGTG